TTCGCCCTGAGTGACAATTAAATGGAAAGCGACAAAATATCTCGTACGATGGGAAATTCGCACATCGGCATTCGGAATACGTCGCCCCATAGGTTTTTAACTTCCATTTATTTACTCTTTTCTTTCTACAAATAGGTGAAGAAGGCAGGAATCGCCTTGGGCATACAAGTCGCATCAACTTATAAGAAGCTTTGAAGAGATTTAAGCCCCCTAATGCCCACGCTGCCTTACTTTATATTTTTATAGGTCTATTTCGACGTTTTTTCTTTCCGATTCACTTTTGGGCGAGATAAAAGAAAAACTTCACTTTTAACATTAGAGTTTGTCCTTTGCCAACAATTTACGTAAATTTAAAATTTTAAGCTTTATTTTATTCTTTTTTGGTTTATTTAAACACATCACTATTTCAGAACTTTTCTTTGTAAGTCGCAAGGCGATACTAAGCATTTTTGAATTTTTAAACATTCTTAAAGAACACCAGGTTTACCCCAACCTAAAATGATGATGATGATGAACGCTTTATTTTTCTATCACACAAGGACCATTTTTATATCTAATGTGAAATGCAATATACATCAAAGTTACTCTGATACTAATTCTTTAAACATTAATTAATTCAAACAACAAACTAGGGCAAATAATAAAATGGAGAGAGAGAGAGAGAGAGAGAGAGAGAGAGAGGAGAGAGAGAGAGGTGTGGTGATTGAGAGAGTGAAAGAGACAGTTGGTAGACAGACAAAAAGATTGAGAGAGAGAGAGAGAGAGAGATGGAAAAAGCAAAAAAAGGAAAGATAGATGAGAGAGGGGGGAAGAGAGAGAGAGATGGGGAAAGAAAAAAGGAAAGATAGAGGAGAGAGGGGGGAAGAGAGAGAGAGAGAGATGGAGAAAGTGAAAAAGGAAAGATAGAGGAGAGAGGGGGAAGAAAGAGAGAGAGAGAGAGAAAGAGAGAGAGAGAGAGAGAGATGGAGAAAGAGAAAAAGGAAAGATAGAGGAGAGAGGGAGGCAGAAAGAGAGGGAAAGAGAGAGAGATGGAGAAAGAGAAAAAGGAAAGATAGAGGAGAGATAGAAGAGAGAGAGGGGGGAAGAAAGAGAGAGGAGAGATAAAGGAGAGAGAGAGAGAGTGATGGAGAAAGAGAAAAAGGAAAGATAGAGGAGAAAGGGGGGAAGAAAGAGAGGAGAGATAAAGGAGAGAGAGAGAGAGAGAGAGAGAAGAAAGAGAGAAAAGCGAAGAGAGAGAGTGATATTGAGAGAGAAATTGTAGAAAGGAGGGATATTGAGAGAGAGAGAGTGAAATATATTTGTTTTTCTGATTGAGATGTTGAAAATCTTCGTTTGATGGTAAATTCATACAGCTGTCATTTATTTCTACATCCATTTCTTCAGTTCAACTTCAGCATGCGTTTGGGTGTGACCGATTTGCTGTTCAGATCCAAAGGGTGGCTACTTTTGCTTTTACTAGTTGCCTTCGATCCCCTCGTGTCCCGGCACATCAGATCTGGTTATCTTTTTGTGAGTAGAAGACCCAAAGCCTTCAATGCTTCGATATCTGAGAACCTTTGCACCTTTTAGTCCTTGTGAGTATTTCTTGTGCACCGAGTTCTTTAGCGAGGATCTCACGGATGGAATCTAATGGTTTCGCTTGGTGTCAAAATTCACGGCCTTAAAGTCTCTGCCTACTCGTCCTGTTCTATTTCCATCTGTATTAATAAACCCCGTTTATTATTTTTGAGCTTTTTATTCTTCCAAACATTCTCTGCATGTGCGTATGCAACCCAAGTGTCAATATTGAGAACTTTCATGATGTGGACCTGCCAAGTTTTAAGTCCGATAAAACTGTTTGCACGGGGTTCATCCGTGCACTTGGAGATGGTAAGCTTGTAAATGACTTGTACCAGAGGAAAATTTTGGGTTCGGCTTCAATCTAGTGTTTATTTCCGTATGATGTTTCATTAGATAGTAGTACTATCTACTGTAGTACTACCTGGAGTACTTCACAGGTGTGTCCTTTGTTCAACGTCTTCAATCTGGCCGGTTACTCTTAGTAAGGACTGTAGTACTGAAGGAAAAGGTCGTTGAAAGCCCCTCATGAAAGTATAAACAAAAACTAACCTTAAAAGTTTGTTCTCAGACGAGCGTGGTTTATTAAAAATCGTGTCCCTTCCCAGTGTTTAACCGCAAATAATCCTTTGAAATGGTACTTATTGCCATCAAACGGACTTAACCCTTCTGGGGTCGGCCACTTCGTAAAGGCCAGGAGGCAATTTAATGAAAAACCACCCCCGGGTCTGGCCGGCCTCGAGTGTAAACATTCTGTGCAAATCCTCCAGTCGGAAATGTCGTTTGCGGCCGTGTCGGCGAGTCCGTTTAAACTTTAACAAGTCCCCCCCCCCTGTTATGCTTTTAACTTCCACGTGGGTTTGGCGGAAAGGTGGACTAAGCAGAACTAAGCCACAACGCCGAGGCCTGAATTACGATTTGAATGGAACTCCTGGGTCCAATTTACTCTCTTCCTCCTGTTTGGATATTTCCTGGAAGGTGGAAACGACGAAAACACTTAAATTTTCCAATATATTTCGTTATTCTCGTCTTTTACGCTTTTTGCTTATAAGAAAATTATATTTATAACAAATAAAAAACGTAAAATATTTGTTGATCTTATAGTTATAATCAACCAGTTTTATACGGTTGAATAGAGTTCTTTTGATAAATGTTTAAAACAATTAAAATAAATCTGGTTCAAGCAATGATGTTTAAAGTTCAATATTTTTAGTAATAGTATTGGTTGTTAGATTCAAAATAGCACAAAGCCACAATGGTGACCAAACCGATCAGTACAAGATACAATCTGTTATAAGATCTGTTAATCCACTTACTCTAAACTAAACTATAAATATTTCAATCAATTATTCTTTTTATCTAAATTCTTAGTTGAAATGAAAAAGTTAGCGTCACGAGCAGGATTCGAACCCACAACATTCGGCTCAATATGTCACTGCTCCAACCACTTGAGCTATGGTGACTTTGACCACTTGGACACTTCCCATCTCAAATTACAACAGTTTGAATTTTCCCTCTTTTTGCCATATTTTCAAATGTCGTGTAATCAGGTTTCGATTCTCAGCAACTTATAAAGTGGCCACGGGGAGCTGTTAATCAAGTAATTACGTTTTTAAAATTATTAAATTAATCCATATTTGCTTAGTGGTCATTATTGACCATATTAATTATTCCAATTAATTATCCTTTTTATGTAAGGTTTTTGGTTGAGATGAAAAAGTAGGTGAGGTAATAATTTAATTAATAAAACGTATAGATATTAAAATAGTATTTCAATTAATCATACTTTTTATCCCGGTTTGTCTCCAAGTTTTTTGTTAAGAAGAAAAAGTTGGTGTCACGAGAGGGATTTGAACCCACGATCTTTGGCTCAATATGCTGCTGCTCTAACCACTTGAGCTATCATGACTTTGATCCCCTTGGACACCAACTACCCATCTCAACCTACAACCATTCGAATTTTCCCTCTTGTTGCCATTTTTCAGTTGTCAAGTTGCTTCTCATTTTCATATCAACCAAGACCTTAGACAAAAAGAATAATTAATGTGGTCAATTATGACTGCTAAACATGTACGGATTAATATAATAATTAAAGAAGTAATAACTTCACTAACAGCTCCCTGTGGCCACTTCATAAGTCGCTGAGAATCGAATCATGATTATACTACAATTAAAAAATGGCAAAAAGAGGGAAAATTTAAAAGGTTGAGATGATGAGTTGGTGTCTGAGTGGATCAAAGTCATGATAAATCAGATGGTCAGAGCAGTGGCCAAAGGTAATAATTATTATGGTCAATTATGACAGCTAAATACGTATGGATTACTATAAATAATAATAATAATTGCTTATGTACTTTCTAAAAAGCTAAAACCATCCAGGGAAACCATATACAATCAGAAAATGAAAATAAATAAGTGTTAGAGATCAAAAGGAGTCTGTTTTTTCATGACCAGTATTGGTCTATTGTACATCTGCATTATTATCTAGCACTTCTCAATTAGCTTAAGGCTTTTTACCATATTCTCAAGTTTTATTTAAGGACGTATGCATCCTTCAGCCTTTTTGTCTCCTAAAAGTAGGAATCTTAGCTCCTGTAACGCTTTGCATCAATGGAGAGCATGTCCGACTTTTTTCCTTCTTCCTGGCAATATCTGCACAGGTTTGTTTCTGCTGGTACAAGTCTATAGACATTTGAATAGTCTGCATCCAGTCAGCAACTATCATTAGTCCTAGCACGTCCTAGTGTTGGTCGTTCTGATGTTATTTTCTGCTGTGGTCCTTTGATGAACTTTTTCACATGCCTCTGTCCTGAACTTTAATCCCATTGAACCGAAAACCTTTTCTTCCATTGCCTGATGGATGTATATTTTTGGCAGTATGCACACAAGGGTTCAGAGCAGATAGGTGACCTCATCAAACTTTCATTGGCCAATTTATCAGTTTCTTCGGTGCCTCTCTGCTCTGTGTGCTCTTATATCAGGGTAATTTGGTTGTTATCCCCAAGGCCTTATGGTACTGAAGTAATCCAATGGCTCTGGACTTGATTACTGATGAAGTACATGTAGTAAACATTGGAAATACCAAAAGCCAACCTGCCATAGAATGGCTGATGTCTAGATATTTCAAAATATTACACAAATAATAAAAAACGACTTCTAATCTTCAAAATGTCAACAAATTAATTTATCAGGAATTACATTTCTTCCTGAAATCTGCAGGAAGATGCACCAGTTATTTGATCTGTACTGATCATCTTGGTCTGCTATCTTGGCTAGGTTGCCCTGTTTGAAGTGTTCATTTTGCCTTCTTCAGTGTGTTTTTTGTGAAGTCAAATCTCATTTATAAAGTTATAGAGGGGATTTGAAAGAGAAATTAATTTACCATGTTTACTTTTTTTTTTTGTTACATATTGTCCACATTTTTCATTATGGCCTTTTTTTAGGAGTGTTGGACTTACGAGTGAAATGGATTCAACAGGCTCTGTAGCAGCAGTTGAAACTGCTCTCGATCGATTGAACAAACAAAGAGAAGAGCTTGAGGAACTTTGGGCAGCAAGGAAGCTCAGGCTTGACTTGTGCCTCAGGCTTCGACTTTTTGAACGCGACGCTCTTGAGGTAAGTCCTCCCTTATATTATTTCTCTATAGAATCTTGACAATTTTTATTTATAGGTGTCATCACAGTTGGAAATATGGTCCAACGAACTGGAAAATACCGTGTTACCCGATTCGATTGAGGAGGCTGAAAGAGCGCTGAGGGCGCATACAGAAAGCGTGTCGCATATGCAGTCCGGTACTTATCAAGTTTTACAGGCCGGGCAAGAGCTCGCCAACGTCCTCGAGTCGTCTGGTGTCGGCCTTATGGCAGATTCGCAATACACTGCTGCTACGAGAGTCCAAGTCTTGCTTGAATTTTTAAATGAGAGGGAAATGGATTTAGAAGACCTTGCCGAAGTCAAACGGCTCAAGTTGGAACAATGTGTCCAACTCTATCAGTTCAGAAATGATGCTAATCAGGTAATTTATTTTAATACACAAAATATTTTTATTGAGTTATCTAATGGAAATATTGCAGGTTGTCAGTTGGATCAGAAATGGTGAAGCTATGTTAATGGCAAGTTTCACCATACCTAATTCACTTGTTGATGCTGAACAGCTGAAAAAAGAACACGAACAATTCCAAGTTGCTATCGAAGTAAGGCTTTTTTTGTTTTAAGGCGTCTTAGGACTATTTAATCATTAGAAGAATATTTTTCAGAAAACCCACACATCAGCTGTACAGGTTAAACACAGAGCTGATGCTTTGATAACGGCAAATCATTACGACCCAGCAAGTGTAAGACAAATTTCAGAAGAAGTGACAAAAAGATGGCAACAGCTTGTAACATGCGCAGAAGAAAGGCATAAGCTTGTCACAGCAAGTCTCAACTTTTACAAGACTGCAGAACAGGTCGGTTTTTTTATAAGGTTTTAAACACAATTTTAAATTCGAAGGGATTTTGTCCAATGCGAATGTGTTATTTCAGGTATGTTCAGTTTTGGATTCTCTGGAAAGGGAGTACAAAAGGGATGAAGACTGGTGTGGAGGCGGCAGCAGCACAAACGGCAACTCGCCGTCGAATGCCGTCGCACAGTTGATAAACAAGCACCAAGAACAGAAAGAGGCGTTCCTCAAGGCGTGCACGCTTGCGAGACGCACAGCTGAGACTTTCTTAAAATACACTTCTAGAAGCCTTCAGTACTACAACTACCCGACGTCTGAAGCCGGCCCCGAGGCAAGAGTGAAAGGTAAAACGCTTTTATTTAACCTCATCACAATCATGGTTATTAATGGCCGATTCATTTTAGTCATCCTGGATAAGCTGCTCAGTCAAGAAAACAGGGTCCTGGAACATTGGTCGCAAAGGAAGAAGCGCCTTGACCAATGCCAGCAGTTCGTCTTGTTCGAAGCTTCTGCAAGGCAGGCTATGGAGTGGATACAAGAAACTGGTGAAAACTACCTAAACACTCACACTAACATCGGGGCCAATCAAGTGAGTACTTAATATTTAAAACTATACTTAGGGTATAATGTAGATTTTGGGCTCCAAGTCACATTTTGAACCAGCACTGGTCCATCTATACTCGCGGGTTTTTGGTGATGCTCAAACGCATTTTGACTTTGACGAGTCTGAGGTCGTTGAATATTAGTGATTGGTGAGATCTCATTGGGTTGACGAGTCTCATTCCAGCGGCACAGTGCCCCTGCTTATATAGGGAAAAGCTCTACTCTGATTGGCTGCAGAGTGGAGGGCAAGAACATTCCATAAGTCGTACGGGCATCTAGCAGTGTCATGGAAACTAACTAGTGGTCACTACAGATTAAATTAGAGGAGTCAGACTCTCAACCTGTGAACCATGACCAGTATTGGTCTTGTTCATTTCTGATGTTGTCTAGAGCTGTTTAAACAGTGGACACACTTATCCAATGCAACACGACGGGACGTGACCTGATGCCAATCCGATGTTAATTTTAACGTAAGATTACCCCGTGCACATCTGCCACAACACTACTGTACACTACACAATGCAACCGAGTTCACCTGTCCAGATTTTCGTTGATTATAGTCAAAGGCAAATATAACCGGACACTCATATTTTTTTGTTATGAGTATGATTAGAAAATTTATCAAAACACCAGAATTCCATTTAGTGATAAAATGAATTTAACTCACTATTTATTACCTGGTTTCGCTCATAACAACGCATCATGAGAAGAACTAGATAAAAAAATTGATTGTTAAATTTTAATCTGTTACTAAAAGATTTTCCGGTGTTTTAGTAAATTTTCTTTCAAACCATCATAATTTTAAAAAAATTTAAATTAAAACTCATGAATTTTGATATTGTTTAATTTGGCTTACATTAGTGTAACTATGTTGTAATTAATTTATGATTTTTCCTTCTCGAAGGTGGGATAATAGGTCATCTCAAAAAAAAAAAAAAAACAGTTTTTCTTTCAATGCACAACGTTTCGGATTTATTTTAATCCTTCCTCAGGTGATTTAACGCAATGGTTAAAACAGTGGTCGTCAGTCATTAATATTTTGTAACAGTTTATTTTAAAAAAGAGCCAGTGTGGTACATATTTAAGTCTTTCAGGCCCCGAACAAATGTTTTAATATTAAATATACTCAGTCAGGTTCAAAATATTAAAAAGTTTGTTCGGGATCTGAAAGACTTAAATATGTACCACACTGGCTCTTTTTTAAAATAAACTGTTACAAAATATTAATGACTGACGACCACTGTTTTAACCATTGCGTTAAATCACCTGAGGAAGGATTAAAATAAATCCAAAACGTGTGTATTGAAAGAAAAACTTTTTTTTCTCCCCCTTTTTTTTAACCCGCGGGGTGCCGATGTTTTTGAAAAAAGCCCACTTGTAAGTATGTCGGATTCGAATGCAGGGCCGCTGGATTCGAACCCCTGACCTTTACCTTACAGTGATGAGCACCGTGTCAACGCCTAAACTGTTGCGGCCACTGACGCCCCATGAGATGACCTATTATCCCACCTTCGAGAAGGAAAAATCATAAGTTAAACTGTTGAGGTCGAAATATAACAAAACATCGTTGTAATTAATGTATAGATAAAAATACTTATGGTTTGAAATAAACAAAGAAATACGTCCGGTCTTCATTTTTTGTCTTTGATTATGTACATATTATATATGGTAAATATATTATATAATAGTATATAGTAATTTGTTCCTTTACTTAGATAATCCCATGCAGATAATCAAATTGATGTTTCATCATCCCAAAATACAAACTACAGAATCATTCAACATTTTCTTTCTTTTCTGATATAGAAATCAATGTAAGATATTTGCTGTTTACAAGTGAGGTTCACTTATTGAACCCATGTTTTTTTGGCCCCCGTTGAAACCAAGCCGATCGTACCCCTTCGGAAATATATATTTATTCGAGGACGGCGTATCCTTAGAATGATACAATGATTTAACTGGATAGAAGTTCCGCTAATCATTAAGTGTAAAATAGAACAGAGTGAAAACAGCACAAAAACAAATAACTTTTTGGCGGGAAAAATTAAGTGAAAGTAAACGCATACAAATCAAATAAACTGACAAACAGACTTTAAAAAATTAAGCTAATACAATTTTTATAACAATTTTAAGAAAAGACTCTGTTTGAAGGGAGAGGAGATGATTATATCAGAGGGATTTGAAGGAATTAAGAGAGGTGGCTTGACGAATAAACGGAGGGAGTTCCAGAATTTGGCGGTGCGGATCAGGAAGGATCTTTTGAAGGAGTGGGTTTTGTGTTGGGGGAGAATAAGGTCACGGGGGGGGGGGGATCAGGTTTTGTAGGCGTGGTGAGAGGATTTAAATTGGAGGGATGATGCACTGAGGACGACGTATGATAACAATGATGAAGGAAGGATCCTAGGAGTACTGAGATCTGGACGAGGGGAGAGCCAGGACAGATTGGAATACAGACGGGACCCCCGGGGAATTTGGAAGTTCTGGGGAAAATTAGACATCGGGTGGCTTTAGCTCACATTGCGTCGGGTAAGAAGTCATTTGAGCGCCGGAATAGCCGAGTGGTAACATGTTAGACTCTCTGCTTATAGACCCTGCAGTCATCGGTTCGATTCCTATTGTCTGCCCTGGGATTTTCTAACACGCTCCACTTCCCCTATAATCAACATCAGCCAGCACAAGTCCATTCTCTGGGTAATATGGAAAACAAGATTAAAATTAATTAAAAATTAAATTTAAAAAAAAAAAATCAGGACCACATTCTAACAAGAGAGTTGTATGTAGTATATTTCAACATACAAGATAAATTTATCACTTAATAATCAAATATTTTTTTAGAGTATTATTAAAACAAGTAGTTTGCAAATTAACAAAAGGAATAGATTACCATAAGACTGCTTTCCATTTTTATTCTTAAAATTGTGATTTTTCACTTCAATTGCATAGAGTAAAAATATTTAGAGTATTTAGAGATCGTGAGATGCAGTTTTGGTGTGATTTAGGTTTAGAAAAATATTTTCTTTATCAATTAAATAACCTTGAAACTGAATTTAAATTGGAAAAAAAATAATTGTGGGCCACCGCTAATAAACACATTTTTTGGCCAAATCTGTAAGTTTCTATTTATATCCGGTTGGCGATGGTAGGGCCGATTTGAGTTCTGGCCAGCACTATAGTGTGACGTTCGGACAATCACTGTCCCACAGATCGAACGAACGACTGAGATGATGCGAAATGAGGAAAAAGTTTTGTCTGTTCGGAAAGAGGCGGAAGCTATGGATAACACCGAATCGCGAAAGGAAATTTGTCTCGCTACCAGATCTAGTCAAAGATGTCGTCCAAAGAAAAATAGTAACCATTTTCTCCTTATAGGCAGTATCGCATAGTAAAAAAAAATTAACTAATAATTTGACTAATTTATATTTTAAATTATTAACAAATGAAATCATTGAATTTAGATACAAATTTTGATTCGAGAAAACAAGATCGCTTCATGGTCAAATATTTAAGATAATTTATGATATTTTTATACAATTTTCACATATAAATTGTCAAAAATCCATGTTCTTTAATTGATTTTTCTTTTTTATAATATGTAACTTTATTTTGGCTTTCATGATCTTGTGTTGGATACAATACAAAAGTTTTTTTATTTGAAATGGAAACCTAACTAATTTATATCTAGTATAAACAGCAAACATCCTTCCATAAAAAATATAAAAAATTCTGTTGTTTTTAAAGATTAGAGTGCTTGTTTAGCCGAATTTTATAAATAAATAGATTCTGTCAGCTTGCTCATTTCCTTATTGTCGCTTAAAAAAAAAAAAAAAAAAGCCAAACACGTAAACACAAAGATAGGCTTAAATTATTGGCGGTGATAGCACAGGCGTCCTTGTTACTTCAACTTGAACCCACATGTTCAAAGCCAGGCTATGTTTCAAATCTGGGACTGGACTAATACATTGATGAGTGTAATAACGGATTATGATTTAAATTAAAAATTTCTAGGTCAAAACAGTTGATCTGATTTAGGGCCAAGCTCATTCTGAGAAACATGTTTATTTATAAGTTGTGTGCCGTTGCATCTCCGACGATATGTTTAATATTACACTTAAATAATCTAAAAACAAATTATTAAATCAGTTAGGAATTTTTTGCCAATTACATGTGATAATGTGCAATAATTAGGAAAACAGTAAAAAACACAATTACAAAAGAATAAACAGACTTTTTTTTTTTCAATTTCAAAATGAACTGTTATTTACTGGGCAAATTGTTTTTATGTTATTCCTAACCTTTTTTTTCCTCTCTCTCGCTGCAGGAAGAGACCGAGAGCCTTCTGGGGGAGCATAACGAGTTCAAGGCCGCTGCAAAGGAGACGAGGGAAAGGGTGAAGCTTCTCATCCAGCTTGCCGACAGCCTGGTGGAAAAAGGCCATGCACACGCGACTCAAGTCAAAACATGGGTGGCTGCCGTCGATAACACCTACAAGGACTTTTCATCACGGATGGACAAGTATAGGTATGCTCAAAAAAATTTTATCATGATAATTTGTACTTTTAACCACTCCAACTTAGTAGTAGCTTTAGAAAATGGCGTCCATAAGTGGTTTGCTTGGTTGTTAAAAGGGGATTTTGGTTTGGAAGAAACAAACCCTCAGATCGCCATCTAAAAGCTGATGGCCAATTTTTTTTTGTCATTAATAACCCACACTCAATACACAAGACATCATACAGACACTTAACATTTATCATTATGTTTCAACACATCTGAGAAAAGATATGTTATCTGGAAAAACTGAATTGCATATTCTTCTGTAGTCCCTCTTAAAATTTAATTTATGCATGTGCCTTCTTAAGCATCAGTGCCCTGTCAGGAGTAGTTTCTTTGTACATCTTGCAGGTGATCCATCTTTGAATTTCTTTGCATGCTTCATGCCTGGAGTATTGTTACACCAGATTTTTTATGACCTTTTTTTCATGGCAAGATGCTAGATCTATTCAAGATGCTATTCCACATTTACTGGTTTGTTCAATCATAAATCTACCTATAAAGGTAAACTCACATGACAATGGCTATTCATTGTCTTTTCTTCGAGATTAGATCTTTAAAAAAAAAGAAATAGGGATGATATTAAAAATGTTTTTACCCGATACATCTTGATTAATTACTGCAAAAGAGTTGCTTTTTTTTTTCAATTTTGTGTCAGGTGTATGTATTGGCCGATTAAACATGCTAAAATAACTTTTATCTAGATTTTTCACTCGATTATTTTCACCTTAAGACTATATTTATCCAGGGAACGGTGTGTGTGCCTTTCATATCTATATCAGTGGTGGGCAGTTTCTGTCGTCACTTATTATCTTATCAAAAATCCTGGCGATCCCTCTCTCCGTATTTGTAAATCCCGTGTTCGAATTTTTCCCCATTTTAGCATATGTTGATTGAAATCTTGTCAAAACAAAAATGTTAGATACAGCGGTGGGCTTGGTGCGTCCCCTGGTTTGCACTTTGTATACAAACAGCCCCGTCTACAATATCATAATTTCTTCTGGACCTTTATTAAGCAATCTTTTGGCCATTCATAGGTGTGTCTTATCTAATTCTTATAATAACAAGCTTATATTTTCTAATGATTCAACTGTTTTTTATATGTTTACTTTGCAAAAAGGAGTTAGTATTTCGATATTCATTTGGATTTATTTAAATAATAAAGTTGACTTTTAAGGTTGTTTGAAATATTGTATACATTTACATTTTCATGCTTAGGTCCCAATTGGAAACACGTCTTGGAATACCGACAGAACATGAGGGTAAACAAGAACTGAGCATCGATCGAAATTCTGATCCAAATTTAGAGTCGAAAGTCAAAGAATCGACGAAAGACCTCAAAGAGCTCAATGAAGAAAAGCGAAGATCCGCCAGAAGAAAGGAGTAAGTAACTGAACGCAAATAAAATAAAAAATAAAAAAAATCAAGCCTATTGACAAAATTGATCAATTTTTAAGGTTCATCATGGCCGAGCTGTTACAAACGGAAAGAACATACGTGAAAGACCTAGAAACTTGTATAAAAGTGTTTCTGGACGAAATGCGCATCGCTAACGACGTCCCGTCCGGAATTCTCGGCAAGGAGAGAGTCATCTTTGGCAACGTTGAGAACATACGCGACTTCCACAGGGACATCTTCCTCAAGGAGCTCGAAAAGTACGAGACGATGCCGGAAGATGTTGGACATTGCTTTGTCACATGGGTATGTCTTTTTTTAAATTATTATTTTTATAAAACATAATTTATTTACCTTTCATTTTGTCTCCTTAAACTCAAAATTTTTTTTCTTTCTTTGAGTTGATTAGATTTTTCATTTTCTCTCTTTTATCTTTCTGAAATGGTAGGGTGAAAAGTAAATAAATACTTGTTGAACATAAATGAAAACTAAAAATAAAAAAAGCTTAGGCGGCAAACATTCCATTTTTACAAATACAATGACAAAAATAAAGAGTAAGGAACCAAAGATGGATAATTTAGATTAAAAATATTAAAACTCCCCTGCACAAGAGCAGAGAGTCAAAAAAATGTAATGATCAACTTGCCCTGAAACCCCTGGAGACCATGGAGGGTTGGCTTTCCGTTCAATAAAAAATAAAACTCAAATTATACAACAAAAGTTAACAGTTTAACAGAAAACAACCGGGCAAAATTATCATATCATCTTAAAAGCTAATTAAATAAAATAAAACCAATGATTGTTACTACTTATGAACTAACAAAATTAAAAAAAAAAAAAAAAAAAAATTACAAATGCCTTGTCCAAGTAGAACACACAAAACTTTTTTTCTGGTGGTCGCTGCTGCCCGTTCTCAGTGTTCTGATGGTTTTTCTAGAGAGCCTTCTTCCTCAACCTGATGATGGGAAAGTCCTCCTTTCCCTGTCCCGGGTATCCATCCTAATTTCATGTTCCAGGATGGCTTCGGCTACACTGCCGACATCCTCTCTCCTTCCACCATCTTCGGCTTGTTTGACAGTTCACATCCTGATTCGCCCCGGACGATGGTAAAATCATCCTCGTGGCAGACCGAAATCCCCTACCGGGACCCATCCTGATCACTCGATCCAGATCAACTGTGCACAAGGAGCAAAATCCGGGGTGAAATGTCGACCTCTTTTTTTCCGGGTCTATGTCCTCGGGTCTGCCTCGTTGCCTTCTTATTTTGCTTCCTTCATCTGCTCTTTCTCTCCCAGTGCTCTTCATCTTCATTTTATTTATTTAAGTTTTTTATTTTATTTTTTTAGTTAACATTTTCTTGTGCAAAACCAACCTTTGTATACGACAACTTCAGTACTAATTTGTCTTCTTTATTCCCTGGCTTTCTTCTCTCTCCAGGGTTTCTTGATCTTTTCAATGCTGGGGAGAGGAAATTTAAACTTAATTTATATTAACCCCTTATTTAGTAATTAAAAAAGTGGGTAGCAAGTTATTGCACTTGACAAGTTTATTTCATATTATCTTTTATCATTTAAATATTCTCAAGTGTCTCTTACTTATTTCTTTTTTCAAGTTTCAAGTTTGTTTATCGTTTAAATATTCACTTACTCAATTCAATTAAAAAAAGAGCTTGATTGATTGACCTGGTTTCTATTGCCATGGCCACAATCTTGGATAAATTTCCAAATAATTTTTGTATGCTGTGATGTCAGGTTCTAACATTCTGAGAATAAGTTATAATATTGTGTAAATTAAAATTATACGGATTATTCTTAAATTTAAATATATACTGTGAATAGTCGTCAGGTCTGATATATTAAATAACTCCACCAAAGACATCCTACCTAAAAGTTTAATCTGTCTTTACAAAATAAGCATTAAAATGATATAAATAGTTTGTGTAAGTGTTTTAATGGGATTTTTGTGTTGATTACAGGCGCCCAAGTTTGACATGTACGTCGAGTACTGCAAGAACAAACCGGAGAGCAATTCGGTGCTAGTCTCCCATGGCGGCGGTTATTTCGAGGAGCTTCAGAAAAAGCACAAGGTTGAACACCCGATCGCCGCCTACCTCATTAAACCAGTACAAAGGATCACAAAATATCAACTGCTCCTCAAAGACCTACAGTCGTGCTGCGACGAAGGCCAAGGGGAAATTAAGGTGAGAATGAGACATGTCAAATTAAGGTGTGTTTTATCTGAGATAAGATTATAGAGACCGATCGGGCAAGATTATTTCATATTCTTATTATTCAATGACTCAATGACTCTCAGTTTAATTTTGCAACTCTGAGTGTTCGTGATTTTTTCTTTTTAATTTGAAAATTCGTCTCCAATGGAAGAGCGCATTCATAAAAATTTTTTAAGGCAATCTTTAATTCGACTAAAGAAAAATAATTCAAGGTCTTCAATTTTCTATACAAAAGTATAACTTCTTTTTTTCCTCTCTATTGAATTTTTATTTAGAATTATTTGTAAGTAGAGTTTATAAATTTCAGGATGGTTTGGAAGTGATGCTTAATGTCCCTAAAAAAGCGAACGACGCACTTCACTTGTCGCTGCTCGACGGATGCGACGTGAGTCTTGACGAGCTTGGCGAGGTCGTCCTGCAGGACAGCCTGCACGTATGGGATCCAAAACAGATAATCAGAAAGTCCAAAGAGAGGCACTGCTTCCTTTTCGAGCTATATCTAGTCTTTAGCAAAGAAGTAAAAGATTCGGCTGGGAAGGCTAAATACATTTACAAAAATAAATTAATGGTAATTTAAATATTTCACAATTATAATGATTCTTGTCGTGTTTTATTTTTTTTTTTTAGTTTTTTACACTAAATAATTTATTTATAGATTTCAATTAATTAAGGTTTTTGTTTTTTTAGTTGAGATAAAAAAGGAAGTGTCACGAGCGGGAAAAAGCACAAGATCTCGTTGCAAAAGATCGTGGGTTCGAATCCCGCTCATGACACTGACTTTTTTGTTTTTTTAGTTGAGATAAAAAAGGAAGTGTCACGAGCGGGAAAAAGCACAAGATCTCGTTGCAAAAGATCGTGGGTTCGAATCCCACTAATGACACTGACTTTTTTATCTCAGCTAAAAAAACAAAAAAACCTTAATTAATTGAAATGTATTAATTGGTCAAGCGGACCACTAAAACTAGTGAATTTATTTTTAGACCTCGGAACTAGGAGTTACCGAACACATTGAAGGTGATGAATGCAAATTTGCCGTCTGGACAGGAAGAGCGCCAATTTCTGACTACAGGATCGTACTTAAGGTGATTTATTTTATTTTTTTTATTATTTTTTTTTATATATTTTTTTTTTGTTAATACTGTTTGTAACTTATTATTATGTTTCAGGCCTCTTCACTTGAAAGTAAGCAGGCTTGGGTCAAGAAACTGCGCGAAGTTATACAAGAAACTTATTTCAGTACAGCGCTACCTCTATCTCTTCCAAAATCGCCTGCCAAGCTGAAAGGCAGCAGCCAACGTTCCAGCAGGTAATTGTCATTTACAGACAAATATTTCTTTATGTATAATTGCGAAGGCTCGAAACACGGATCAAAATTACGACCGAACCACTCCGCAGATTTTCTAGTTTGCTATCATGGCGATCCTTTTTGTATTTGTCCAATTTTGTTGCTCATTTCCTTACATGCATCCTCTCTCTTTTTCTTTTTATACTGTCTCCTGGTTCATTGTCATACTCGAGGCAAGCGCGTTTATGCAGAGAGAAGGAAACAACGTGAAACATACTAAAAAAAATAGTCTGCCGGTCGGCCTACCCCGAAACATGCTCGTGCCAAAAGTTTCGCAACCATTAAATCAATTCACAGTATTTTAGTTCTAAATAGAAAATAATATTTTACAACTTACAATTTTGTAGGGTTTTAGGCCATGACTCCACATTAGTGTCAACCATAATCAGCAAAAGTCAAACCCGCCACTCAACGGACTTTGTCCATTTCCCTTGGCGTGATTCAATGAGTTATGAATTATTTAGAATTTTTATATTCTAAGCATTTTCAAAAATCCATTTTGATTACTTTTTCTTCATCAATGTGTGAATGAGGAAAAATATTTCCATGCTGAACAAAAAAGAATACGAAGAAAACTTTTTTACAGAATAATTGTTTTCTTTAATATTTACAATTGAAGGGTCCAGTGGGAAAATTATGAGGTTCTGTTTTTTAAACATTTGAGAAACACTAAATTTCAAGTTTCATTACTACTGGTGAAATAGTTTCTTTTTTTGATGTTTGATTAAACAATTATAATAACATTTAGAGTTCTTTCTGAGTAATTCTCATGATACAGAAACCATTAAACCCTCATTTCGAACCCAGGAATGAATAAGAAAATATGTTTATGAAATTTTATATATTAATTTCAAATATGAACAGACAAGTGAAACGAAAATTCTGAAATATATGTATGGTCAAAATTTTAGGTTAATTATTGTAAAAACAAACTGAAAAAAGTTAAAAAGCTCTAAGCTAAAAAGTTTTACATTACTCATCCTCTACCTCATAATCAAAATAAACATCATCCTGAGTTTCTGTGGCAGTTCTATCTGTGATCAAATTATTGTAAAACCTGGCAACTTCGTTAGTGAGAAACTCTGTCAGGTGTTGCAAGTCATTATATTTTTCCAAATTAATAGGAATGGAGCTCGTAGGAGTTACGAAGCTGCTGTTTTGATGCAGGAGTTCTTTGCCTTTGTGGCACCCATACACGTAGTGGTTATTATAAGCTCCACAGAATGAAGTGCGTTGGTGTATATACTGTGGTGTGTAAGAGATATTCAAAAATTGAATCGTTCTTGTGGGGGATGGGACAATTCGATTTGTACATCGGTACTAGGTAATTCATCCACGATGTGAAAAATTCCCTCTTACAATTGATAACAGTGAATGGTTATGGTTTGCATCTGCTCGGACCAATCCGTTCCATCCTTGAGGCATATCTACATAGGATTTTTGATTAATCATATATCTCTTGTCGCACTCCCGATAGCTATGGCCACCGATGGGAAAGAAAACTTTTACACAGTATATTCTTCCTTTTTCTGTCACGAGATGGCAAAGGAATCGCAGAACTATTTAATTTTTATTTTGCCCTGCACATGAGTCACAAAAAATTATAAGCATTCTGATTGCTTGTGGATGAATTTTTGAATGCCGGAGAAATGGATCCTCTTCGTTCATCCTTAGGCGCACAGGAGTCCCATCGTTCTTCCGCTGTGCCGCTCATTTTGGCAGGTTAATACATAGTTAATGTCACAAGCCAACAGATGACGGTGAAATCTCGATTCTGAAAAAATAGACCCTCATCGTTTTTCCTCTGTGCCCTTCAATTGTTATTATCCATGTTTTTAATTTTTACAAAATAAATTTAATAAAGAAACAAACAATTATTTAAAAATGTGTGGTGTTTAGTGACTGTTAATTAATGATTATTTCGAAATTGTGAGTTGTGGTCTGGTGTGACGTAGGTTTAGAAAAACATTTTCTTTATCGTGCCAACATTTCAATTTTTATTGAGATCATCTTCAGGGCCTGGGTTTTAAAAACATTGTTCAAATTATAGATAAATGTAGGGATGTGAAAAAATGAATTTATACAATGATAGAAATTTTAGACTGAATGATATTGAGATCTTCTTCAGGGCCTGGGTTTTATAAATATTGTATAAATTCACTAATTTCGTGGTCCGCTTGACCAATTAATATATTACAATTAATTAAGGTTTTTAGTCGAGATAAAAAAGTCACTGCCACGAGCGGGATTGGAACCCACGATCTTCGGCTAGATGCACTCCTGCTCTACCACTTGAGCTATTGTAACTTCGATCCACTCGGACGCCAACTTCCCATTTCAACCCCACCTTTTGAGTTTTCCCTCCTTTTTGCCATTTTTCAAATGTTGTGTAATCAATTTGAATGGCCATCTCATTTGTCGCCGAGAATCCAATTCGATTACACGACATTTGAAAAATGGCAAAAAGGAGGGAAAACTCAAAAGGTGGGGTTGAGATGGGAAGTTGGTGTCCGAGTGGATCAAGGTCACGATAGCTCAAGTGGTAGAGCAGCGGTGTTTCCAGCCGAAGATCGTGGGTTCGAGTCCCGTTCGTGTCATTGACTTTTTTATCTCAACTAAAAACCTTAATTAATTGTATAAATTATAGATACACGTAGGGATGTGAAAAAATGAATTTATACAATGCTATTGGGTTGTCCGGAAAATAATGCAGGATTTTAAGTTTTCATTAAAAAAAATCTATATAAAATATTCTGTTTACGTTTACAGGATTACTCATTTGTATGNAAATTATTTTGATTAAAGAACATTGCTTTAAAGTAACTAGTTTCTTTTTTTTTGTTTAATACCAAAATCCTGCATTATTTTCCGGACAACCCAATAGAAATTTTAGACTCAGTCAAAGTATACTTCGATTGAGTGTAAAATTTCTATTATTGTATAAATTCATTTTTTCACATCCCTAGATTAATCTGTATAATTTAAACAATGTTTATAAAACCTAGGCCATGAAGTTGATCTCAATAAAAATCGAAACGTTGGCACGATAAAGAAAATGTTGTTCTGAAACCTACATCACACGAGACTGCATCTCACGATTTCTGAATAATCATAAATTGTAAAAATTTTTATTTTTTACAAAATTACCAGATAGATTTGTGTTTTGCTCATGAACGAAAGTTTTAATATATTTTTTATCTACATTTGCAAAATTTTCTTCCTGTCTCGCGTTCATTTATCACTAAAACCCTGGCTTCAAATGTAAAAATTCGTACACACTCAAATACTTTGATTGAGTCTAAAATTTCTATCATTGTATAAATTCATTTTTTCACACCCCTAGATTGATCTTTATAATTTAAACAATGATTATAAAACCCAGGCCCTGAAGATGATCTCGATAAAGATCGAAACGTTGGCACGATAAAGAAAATGTTTTTCTAAAACCTACGTCACACCAGACCCCATCCCACGATGTCCAAATAATCATTATTTAAAAAATAGCATATTTACAACTATAAAATTATATATTTACAATCATTGTAATTATTTTTCACTCATTTGAATTGCTTAAAATTAAAAAACAATATAAATAAAATTTTAAACAATTTATTTCTTGAATTATTTCAAATTTTTTGTTTTTGTGAAATTAAAAAACAAAAACAAAAAACGTTGCACTCCAAGCATTACTCTTTCGGTTTATTGTACTTTCCCTTGTTCATTAGTTCAATGAAGTCGATACGTCTTTTAAGAAGTAGAAGGTGACTGTTTTTTAGCCATTTATTAGTTTTTTATTTTTTAATCTGCTGGCATTAGTTTGTATTTTGTATGTAATCATTGGTTAAGCGTAATTAAACCTCTTATGTGTTTGAATGATTCTCAATATTCTTCTTTAAGATGTGATGAATATTTAAAAAAAATAATAATTACGTAAATATTAAAATGGAAGTTGAATTAGCAGAATGAACTTATGTTTCCACAAGCTTGATCCACGAGCTAAAACTTTGAGATGTAAATTTTAATTTTAAAATTTTAAAGGTATGTTTTGCAATTACAGGGACATGGAAGAAACCGGATCTCTTGACGAGAGTGTCGAGAACCTCGACAGGGGATCTTTGGCGTCCTTCGGCTCCGGAAACACCACCGATTCTGATAAGGTAGGAGGGCTACTTAGGTCTCTCTGGAGGCTTAGTATCATTAGTAGGTGATTCTATCAACAATCAGCTTTCCACTTGAGTCCTAACCACCTGTGAATCAAAGATTCTCTGCTCCCTCAGTCCCGCTTATTTCTCTCGGCTACTTTTACTACGTAATAACGCATCACTCTTCCGTTCTATTATATTTACACTTTTAATTTTTTTTGCACTTTGATCCCTTGAAGTTACCAGTTTATAATTCAAGTTTTGGCAAAACAAAAATTGCCTTTGAGAAAGTGCATGGTATAGAAGCATGTCAAGAGTTTTGTATTTTCTAAGAAATGTTAGACTACCGTTTATTTTTTTGGTAGTATCACCTGTATATAACGTTGGATTGTTAAGTTTCGGCCAAACGTGATAAAAATGTGATTATTTAAATTTAATATTAGATGGTCTTTGCCTAACTTCATATTTTTGTAAGACTGTTCAGTATTATTAACTTATAAACAAAAAAAACCTAGGTTATAGATTAATTATTAACAATTTATCTATTGTTCTTTTATTTTTCGTGACTTTTTTATTTTTATTTTGTTTATTTATTTTTTTTTCGTCTCGTATTATGTTTAAAAAAAACATGTTTAGTGTTAATAACGTTAAGGTTAATTGTCAATTTAATTTGTAAGTTTTGTGATGTCTGTCAAATAAAGTTATTTCCTTAATTCCACAACGCGTTTTTATTCCACACTTTAAAAAAAATCTTTTTCTTTTCTCATAAAACTTTTTAACAAATAATAAAGCTAACAAATTTTTGTATTTTTCTAATTACTAATTCCCATTTTTTTTTTTTTTTTTTTTTAATTAATCGCTTGTGCTGTAGTTGATCTGTGCTTGTGCATGTTTTAGTCACGTTGAGCTGTTTTCATGATTTGTCCATTTAACCATGTCATATTGAAAAAAAAAAGGGGTGAAAAAACTGTCATTGAAAACTGTTTTATGACACAAGAGAACTCATTACATTTTATATTAACTGTCGTTTATTATTCTGGCGTTTATATTAATAATTGACAGGAAATTTTCGCTAAAATTTTTTTGGCAGCAATCATAAACATATTTTAAGTCTTATTAAAAAAAAGTTTATAAAGATTATTTAAAATCTGTAAAAAAACTTCCATTATAATAAAATCAATTTAAAAAAAAAATCAAACTAGCATAAATCAACATTGTTTATGCAGGGTGTCCCATGAACTAATCTTTTTATACAAACCACACGCGTTTCCTTCTAAAAAAGGAGGACTGAGATTATCATTTCAGGTGGCCTACTTGCTCTCTATAATGAGCCAAGAATGGCATCTTTGCATTAAGTGGACATTGAGCCGGACAATATACGGGCTTTGGCCTAAAAGTGTCCGTATATCAACCTATTTACCCTGCTTTCGATTATCTCCTTCGATCTTGCCAAGTATATTATTTCAAAAAAGCTGCCAGAACCTGCTGATAAATATGCTTAAATTAATCTCGTAAAGTTTGAGTACTAAATCAATTTCATTTTAAGAAGTAGGTTCATTTGTAAATATATAAACTTCATCGAAATTTTAACAAGAAGTCAAATTAGAAATCTCATTTTCATACATACATTAAAAAAAATTTAGTTGGTTATAAAAATTAATTATTATGGATAATTTTACTTTTAATGTTGTAAATAACAACTGTAACTCTTTTTTTTATATTGATATTCATCGATTATCATTTCCTGATGATACAAGACAAATCAGGAAATTAAATCTTACAAGTTTGCCACTTCATTTGGGCTTGGATATTTGGATATAACCCTGGAAAAACAGGCTGACAAAGGATTTTTAATATTTAACTGATTCGCATCCCCAAGCCTTTGTTTATAGTCGCATCATCTGTCCAATCAGTGTTCAATGACAGTAAACAGTTATATCATTGTTTCTTTTGGCAGAAGCAGGGATGGCACTACATCCGAAGTGGAAAGGTAGGTCCTAAGTTTTAAATTTGCAGCCATGTTGGAGTACCATTTAAAAAATTGATATATGCGGCAATATACATGCTATATCGATATTATTTATTTCGAATCATTTTCATAATAAACACAAATCATAATCAAGTTATTTTCATAATTTTATTGTATATTTTTTTATTTACAACCTTTAGATTTTATTGTTTGAAGTGAAAAAAGGTTAACAATTTGAAACGTTTTAGGTTCGTCAAAATAGAATTTTGGTTAGTTATATGAATATTAAAAAAAAAAAAATTGTAGGCTCCGCCTAATCTTGCTGGGTTTCAGCATTAAACTTATTATTTTCCATTCACTTACGAGTGGAAAAACATGAATATTATTTTAAGATTTCCCGAAGTGCATATAATTTAGATCATTTTGATCTGTTTTTCCTTGCTGGGTTGGTCTGTCAGACATGATGCCGAAACGCACCTGACAGAACCCAATTTCAATTTTCAAATTTGAACGGTATCTTTATAAAAATAACTTCAGAAATTGATATTTCTAAAAGGTTTATAAACATAAAAAGAGCAAATCGGGACTCAAGAAGATCTCGTTAAATTTAATGCTTGTTCATTGTAGGCAAGTAATGTTTGTTACACTGGGTCCGTCTGTTTTCGCTCTTTAGGCTTCAGAAGCGACATTGCTTCATCCCTAGCAATGAAGATCAAAATGCAGAAAGTATAATTAATTAAATGACCATCGTTATTTATATATTAAAAAAATATTATTTTTGGTTTAATAACATAAAAACAAAAATGTTCTAATTTTGTATGATTTAAAAGGATAAATTTTAGCAAACATTCTGTAAGCAAAGTAGGTCAGAAAATAGTCAAAACTTGAATTTGACCTCATTCTCGTGAAAAGGAAATGGGTGAAAATTAATTTTTGTACTGATAATTTCGAAATTTCAACTACGTTCTGTTTGACTGGCATTTTTATTGCAAGCTCTGACATCATTTTTTTCCAAAACCCAGGAGACCAATTTTCATGGTTGATGATTCTTTTTTTTTTAATTGTCAAGTGCATTTTATAACTGTATCAAACATTAAAATCGGTCTATTATTTCCATTTAAAAAAACCCGAGGTTAATTTCTGACAAATAATTTTCCAATTTTGTGTATTTTCTTATAGAAATCTTTTATATATTTGTATGGTACACAAGTCGTTAAAAACCTTCGTTCTTCTTTCAAATGGTCTTTTTGACGTTACAATCCTTCTCGCCGTTTTTTGAATTACAAAAGTTTCAGATATTCCGAGAATGACTTTTTAAAAATTGGAAAAATTTTATGGGTCAAAAAATCGATAAATTTAAATTCAAACAAAAATGTATATTTAGGGATTCTCTAAAGAGCTAAAATGAAATTTCATATTGGTTTCACGAAAAAAAAATTATTACCTAGTTAACTTGAAAAATATTTGGTTTTTAAGTTTTTTTTTTGGTGATTCATAAACTTTGATAGTTTTTACTACATTTTTATTGCAATCTACATAAAAAATGCTGCAAAGTGATATTCGCATAGTTGATTTGAGTAAATAGAACGTCGAATATAAACATTAAAAAATGGAAAATTTCAACTTTCAAAAAAATAAATAAAAAATAAGGCGAAACCAGCGCCTATCGACAAGATGTATTGGATACGTGTCCGATATTTTGGAGTGTAGAATCGCCAAAAAATCCGTTTATATTCAGGGGGGAAAATTGAGACCTAGTTTGCTTGATAAATATTTAGTGTTTTTTTTTTTAAATATTTTGGTTATTGATAAATTATTATTCGGAAATCGTGAGATGTAGGTCTTATTGGAAATAAGTGGGGTATACGTGTCCGAAATTTTGTAGTTGTATAATCACCCAAAAAAGTTGGATCCAAATCCCTGACACACCAACCTGGTCCCCTTGTTAGACCGATAACAAAGCAGTAGCGTAATGCCGAGAGATTATATAAATAGCGAGATTATGCCATACAAAGATGTCGATAAGGGAGAGAAGTGTTCATTCATTTTAAACCCAATTAGGACATTTTTGATTTTAAAAAAATTCGTAAATGTTATAATCAAATATTGCAATCTTGTGTAATATTAAATTCTGGTTTGGTGGTTTATTAACGTCGCAGTATTTTTCTTATTCTGGAAGGCCTCTCAATTCTGGATTGGATCAGAATGCTTCGGTATAAATTGTTATTCTGCTCTCCCCCGTTTTTATTTGGTCGGCGATGCGAAAAGTGATACGAGCCCGGTTCGGGACTTCGGGCTATCTATAACGTAAGAGAGGAGACGAACGCTCCTGGCCTAAGGAGATAAGCCCTTCTCCATCCAACTCCCTGTTCATCCTTCGGTTCTCTTTAAAAGTTTCAATCGTTACGACCCCATTGCGCCACGCAAGTCCGGTCAAAAAGGTACCGCATTAATAATTCATAATTTTTTGCCGTATTTGGAAGTTCCTAAGGAAACGGCCGTGATGTTCAGAACTTGAGATGAAAGAGGTCAACGATTGTTATCATTTAACGGATGGCAGTACAAACATAGAAATTAGCCATGTTAGGCCAAGGGATTGTATGCGACCCATAGGTTCATGATTTTCTCCCTATGCTCCTGCTGTTTTTCTTTGTCAGATTTAATCAAATTTTACGATCAAATCATTCATAAAACTAAAACAATCCTCATTACTAAGATCAGACTCTTCGATTATTAGGAAAGTAGAATGTATGCGTTTTTTTCTCTTTCTTCCGCCCCTCTCAGTTTTGATCTCAGATCAGTGCTAGTTATTAGTCTAGTATTAGTCGAGGTGTGTCCCAGGGAGTCGTGGCCCACTTAATGTGGAACTACGATGACGACGGGTGGTACAATGTGGTTAAGGCTCGGGGCCCAAGAAAGGTGTACCTCGTGTCCTCATCCACGTCCCTTTCTCATTCCAGTTACCTTCATTGTTTCCTGTGACCCCTCCAAACCTTGGTTTCAAGGGGGGTGTCCGGGCGCAGAATAATGGTATAGCCCTGAGGGCTTGGCAACCTCTGTAAAGCACAAGCTGTACTCATGTCGGCTTCGGGTTGGCATGGGGCGGCGGTGGGGCCTATCAGAGGTACACGATGGTTAGGGCACCAGATCCTGTATGCATAGACGGGGGAGGGTGCATAACCATCTGTACTACGGAGTAACAGAAATGTTCCAAGGTTCAGCCCCTGTTACAATGGGAATGGACTCGTAGTTGGCCGTGGCGAGACCCCTGGCGGGTACTTAGAGAAAGGGCTGTCTTCTATCTGTGACCTTCGCAGGAAACTTGCGGCCACACGGGATACGGCGGATCGGACGGCAGCGTATAAGTGTTGAGGACGATATGATTTTGCTGAAAAGTCTCTCGAATGCGTGAGTAGTGAATCGGTTGCTCCTACTCAGAGTGTGCTTTGCACGTAGGTGTAGGCTGAGCTCGATTGGATGCTTTCACCGTAGGCGGTACTCCTCTAGGGGGTGGTTAGCAATTCCACTTTAAACGAAACCGCGGCCGGAGCGCATCCGGTAGTTTCTACGCTAGAGAAGCCCCAATACTCTGGGAGATAGGGTGGTTCTCTATCTAGGGTGTGCGCGGGAGACTCCGATATTTCGACTTAGGTAGTCTACGGTCTGATGCTTAACGCAGAGCCGACCACTCGGAATGGGCAAGCGGGGAGCGAGGTTGTCTTGGGCCTTCGGGGCTGAGCTGCTTCTACACCAATGCTGCGGCAGTAACACCATTCTGTCGCATGCGGAGGTGCGTCCGCTCTCATCTTGAGAATGAAAACGTCCGATAAGGCTGAATAGACTAGGTGCGGACGTTAAAGATCTTCATTGTTGTTTTAAGGACGACCGAGTATAGGGGAAAGCAAATCTGAATCCCACGAGCAGCTAGGGAGGATTGCATCTGAGACCTGCATGATGGAGTAAGGCTAAATACTCTGAGGTCGCCCGCTACCAGAGAGGCACCGTTCAGGACGCCTATCCATTCGGCGCGGTTCGCATAAGTCATAACACCTTTGATTGGGGTGGATGCTGTTTTCCATCAAGCCCAAGACTCTATGGGATGGAGGTAGTTGATGTTGATGGGAGGCAGGACTAAGGGGGGGTAGTTGGTAGGAGGTTGTTTAGTGAGGAATGGTTAGGGAGTGAAGCAAGACCATACAAGCGCTCGTGACGAAGTCGTACCATGAGCCAGCGTTCGACAACTTGCATACCGACTTCAGCCTTAGGTTTATCTTTTGGCTTAGTGGTATGGTAGGTGCACTTGCTTGTGGTGATGTAACGAAACTTCAGATCAAAGTTCATGATGCAGGCAAGACGTACGCTTTAAAACATATGGTTGTGGTTCGGCAATTCCATCGAGTTCCCTACTCCTAACCATCCTACTCAATACTCAAGGTTCACTACTAAGAAACGGGCTTGGTTTTCGAAACCTGAGATCAGTGCAAACCTGTGAAAGTGTTACTCGTTTATTCTTCTCTATTTGTTCGTTTGGTTTCATTTTCTTCTCTTCTGTGCGTGGTAATCTGTGTATTTTTTGAGTGGTATAAGTTATGGAAGCGTACAACCCAGAAACCAATAAAGCTTGGACAAGTGAGAAACTATTGGTTATGTTGCATGACGATTATCACCGTGACAGTTTCGTGCGAGTTGGTGTGTCGTGCATATTTGTAGTCGAACTAAGTTCTTAAGTCGTTTGTCCGCTTATTTATGGTTATAGTGTTTCATTTTTTCTTTCTATCATATTATGATCAGAGCTTATAGCGAGCTGAGGAAGTTGCTTTAATTTAAAAAAATGTAAATATAGATATCTCAACTTTAAGAACATGAGAAGTTTATTCGTGATGTTTCAATGAAGAACTTTACGCCCCATGTTGCGGTGCGACCGGACCCGAAGATCATCAATAATGACAGTCTGTGTGAATTTAGACCGTACAACGAGCGCGATCGTCTGAGTAATTGCAAAGAAAGAAAATTAAGCCAAT